CCCCCTTCCTCTCTGAAATCAATAAAAATATATTTTTTTAAAGAGATCCTATGGGTCAGGAGGAATTGTTGCAGTCATCTCTGGAAATGTAACCTACCACTTTGATGTTCACCAAAGAAATCTTCTTGGGCTGTGGACTCAACTAGCAATCTACTTCGGAGATCCACACTATCAGTTTTGCACCAGCTCTTCATCGTCTCAGCTTTTGACCACCAGGCAATGAAAGCTGCATTCCGAAGGATCACAAAATAGCTCTGACCAAGACTATTTTCTATAGACTGATGATTTTGAAATTTGAGTTTGTCAGCACCAGCAGAAGCCACCATTCAAACCTGAAGAACCAACATTTCTCTTTCTGTATCCACCTCCCTCCCCTAACCCAAACCCATGTCATGTCACACTTAGTGGGCCCAAGACCCTGCACTTCCCCAGGCAGCTCCAGGCTGCAGCAGCAGGCATCCCTGGTCATTTTCACACACAGCCATTGTGTGACGAAGTTCCACCCCACCACAACCTCCATCTCTGGGTCTCTGCCCCAAGTGAAAAATCCTAAGCAAGAACTGGCTGAAGGACCCTAAAGCGGCTGGTTATTCATAGATGGATCAGCTATGGTCAGGGCACAGGGTCATGCCACGCAGACCTAGCCTTCTGCTCATTGGGACCATTCCCAGAGAAGAAGGAGAAAATCATTTTTCAGCTTGGCAATGCCTCCACTTGGTGAGGAACAGGAAACGTTGCATGCAGCCCATGGAGAGCAGAGAGGATGCCTGAGAGGTGAGTATCAGGGACTGTGAGAATGGAAGCAACGGCTAACTGCTATACCGATGGAAAGGGGGGTTGGCGGGAGGGGGAAAAGCTGGGATTGGTGGACCAGGCTGGAAGCGGGACAAACATTTCTCTTTCCACCTGCAAACAAGGTAGTGTGCCCACCCCATTGGCCTCATCAATGCACCAGCCTTTTCACCTGTAACTCCCAATGTGCAGCCGTGGCCCAGGCAGGGCAGAGCAGGGCAGGGCAGGGCAGGGGTGCTGCCAGTCACCTAAGCTCAGCACCTTAGTTTATCCACCTCTCCCCCAAATATTGAAGGACAGGTATGCCCTGAGCATTGAGCTGGGCTGGCGGTAGATGCCAACCACCATCTTTAGAACTTCAGTCTGTCTTAGAATTAGGAGCCAGTCCTGCAGCTCACAGCTGCCATCTCCTCCCTTCCTCCCCTCCTCTCGCTCTTCCCCTGTCTTCCAGCTCCTCCCCTGCCTGCTCCTCCCGTGCCCTCCTGCTCCTCCCCTGTCTTCCAGCTCCTCCCCTGCCTATTCCTCCCCTGTCCTCCACTGCCCTCCCCTGCCAGCTCCACCTCCCAGCCTTTTTTACTTTCTGTCCCCTGTCCCAATTATAAATGTAAACAACTTCGTGAAGATCCTTCTATACCTTTCTTTCAGTTCACATGTAGTCCTATCTGCCAACCCACTACAAATTAACTGAGTGGCCATGGAAAGATTGATTCTGGAGGCAAGGAAAGGAAAGATTACAGGCTCTATTGTCAGTGATCTGGTGCTTTTTCCATGGGAATGAAAATATACCACAGCATCTGTTAGACCTTAAACCTTCAAAGGTTCACGTAGGGTGAAAGACTTTGACCTCAACACTTGTAGTAGGACCTATGCATTTACACCTCCCAATAAAGTGGCTGCTGTCCCTCTCATCGAAACATTCAACTCTACCCTCAACCTCACATCAGCTTTAACAAGAGCTTATGGGCACTGTGCTTCCACATTCTCTTGGTATCTGTTTGGAAAACCAAAGAATTCAGACAACAGTCATTGCCTGTGAAATGTTGCTTAGCTATGTTTTATGAGTAAATTTTGGTGCGTTCCATATTTAAAACAGGGCTATTCTCATGCATAATTTTTCACTGTTACACACATTATAGTTCAAAGATATTAGCATCATTGGAACACCTTTAAAACCATGAGAAACATGGACAAATATGTGGTGTTTAGGGACATTTACTTTTTTAGCATAACGGTAAAACGTTAGGGTAATAACATATTGCTGGAAAGGCAATGATGATGATGGCTAACTTGGTTTCTCCTTTCAGGAATGGCAAACATTGTCCCCTCTCCAATCAAGACATAGGAATACACTCATGTGTTCAGGGCGGTCAGAATAGCAGCTAATGGTTGCAGGTGG